TATATATGATGTGTGTGTGTTGGTTTGTGTTACCACTCACTGGCAGAGACAAGGTCCATGTACTGGCAGACAGCGTGAAGCAGCAGCCTCTCAAAGCTGATTCACAAATACAGATTACAAATTACTTTCCTCTCCCCCCCTCCTCAGCGTCCTCATGTTTGTTCACCACACAGATCCAGAAATACACTGTATGTTTGTCTGTTTTCTCTCACATCCTGTTTTTGTTTGGTGCAATAAAGGTTTTGTATGATCTAATATGACTGACTCTCCAGGTGGGGATCATCATCTGACAGACTATAATTGGACACATTAGCATTTTATAACTGACACCAGAGATGGAAACAATTTAAGACTTTTGTTTAAGACTTTTAATTAATTCCAAGACCTTTTGTTGAGGAAACTGGGTGAATATATATCACGGATCTTTTTGCATTTATATATAAATATATGAAGGATTTCTACCTGCTGGCGAGGTTGGTTGTGTAAACTGAGCGAGGCTGAGTGTTGAAGAAGCTCAGGAGATTTTCCTCAAGTACTTCAAGAGTTCCCTGTGAAGAGGAAAAACAACACAGCAGCTGTCAAGAGTGAAGAGACGTTAGAGGTTCCATCTACAGAGCAATCATATTACGATTGCAACTATCGATTACTATAATTGATCTTTTACAATTGATACTCCTCTGATTAATCTGCTGTTTATAATCTCTAATCTAAAATTATGAGAAATACTCATTTCTGAATACTTCTTTAAATGTTTTGTTTGGTCTAATAAACAAACATGGGATAACATCTCATCATCATGACCTTATGCAAAGAAGATCTAATCAAAATTCAGATTAAGTCTACTGTACATGACACAGACTCAAACCATTGCAACATTTAGTTTCCGAGCCCAATGAGAAGAAGACAACTCACCATGGGGATTTGTTTCCGCTTCAGAGTGGCTCGCAACCTGCGATCGATTCTCTGGAAGCTGTCCTGAGCAGTGAAGGCAGGATTTACTGTGGAGAGATGAGTGATGGTCAAACAAAGGACTGTTCTTTAAATGACCGACTGACAGCCACAACACAAACTGAGACACTCACCATTCCTCTGGTCTTTGAGGAGCCGGTTGGTGTCTTTCTTCTTGGCCTCCTCCTGCTCCAGCAGAGACAACAGCCTCTCCTGCTCCTCACCAGAGCAATTCATGAAGTCGCTCCATGGCTAGAAGAACAAGACAGGAAGTTAACCTACTGATCTTTCTACTGGTATTTTGTGAGTTTACGTTGGTACATAAAGCCTCCAGGAAATAGTCAGTGACAAAATGTTACCATACGAACTCCCTAAATGAAAGCTTGGTTTAGCTTTAAGATGTGCAGGTGATGACTATTTTACCTCTACGTAGTTTCTGTTGGTGCAGGCTTCGGTGAAGATGGAGGGGATGGCCGGGTTACTGCAAACCTCCAGATCATCTTTGGAGCAATCATCTCTCTCAAGAAGATTTGCAAGAAAGCGTGCTGGTTTCCAGAGAAGGGGAGAAGAGACAAATGGAGATTCATGATGCAAAACTTCACTGACAGATTTATATATTCAAAGTGTTAATTCTTCAGTAAAAAACCAACAGAGAACTCTATGTAAATGCATTTTTCACACATTTTTATTCAGGTGAGTAACTCTACTAATGGCTAATGATCAGATCGTATGAAATGAGAGCTCACTGTTCTCCAGGCGCCGGAGGCTCTTCTTGCCTTTGGCTCGAGGAGTGAGGTCAGAGTTGCGGATGGCTTGGTTGATAAAAAACTGCTTCTTTTTGGAGGGAGACACTCGCTTGGCGGGAGAGCTGGGCAGAGAGGTGCATTTACGCTCCTCTATCAGGCTGAGAAAACAGAAAACATGATGTCAGTTTAGCCAATTTAAACACATTCATTTTACCCTGAAGGGATGTAGATGTTTTGAATACCATCTTTCCATAAAGGTGCTTCACAGTGTTTAGAGTCAGTGATTTCTTTTTCCATTTCAAAACTCATAGGGTGATTCTGAGGCGCTATGACACATTCATATCAAGGTGGAGATGGATATATTTTCATGTGTTCACATCTGACAACCATCTTTATGATGATCATAAAGCTGAGATCACAGACTCAGTTGTGTGAGAGTTAAAATGCTGAAGCAGAGACTATCAGGAGATAATTATCCAAAGCAATTTGGGAATGAGTTCAGCATATTGTGAGGTTATGGGACTCCCTTCATGTTGTGTCATGTTGTGTCATGTTGTGTCATGTAGACATTAGAGCCAGTGCAGGACCGTGACAAGTACAAATTATCTTTAACTGACAGGCAACCACTGTGAGGACTGGTGTTGCTTGTTCTCTACCATTGGTCCTTATCAGCATTCAAGCAGCAGAGAGCTTAATCAATTAAAACATATTTATAACTGTTTGGTTTAGATAGGATGGCATTATAAATCTAGACCACTGCATATAAAAAGCATGCATTGGTCTCTCTGTGTTAGTCTGAGAGAAATGGATGTTCATCTGCTGTATTACTAAGATGCTAAAAAGCAGATTTGGTGACAAACTACGTGTTAAACTCCTCAAGTTTATTTCTGAGTCAAAAAGAACATCTATCTTTCTTGCCTGCAAGCTCAGGACAGGTCCTGGGGAATTGGATTTTCTTGTCAGTTCATGTGTCTGCAGCCGTGCAACCTACACATATTTTTAACATCAAAAACTGACCTAAACTAGAACAGCACTCAGTAGATCCCATGTCTCTACCAGGAACAAACAGTCCCCTTAAATTAGATCAAGCTGCACCAAATTTGTCGCACAGTCCCCTAAACATGGTCGAGGACTTAATCTCTGAGAAATCAAGGAAAATGTAGGAAACCGTTTCCATCTTGCAACGTTACAGAGAGTGATAGAATATTATTGGGTCTGACACTGAGTGTGTTCTCTCTTGACCGTCCTGTTATTTTTGTGTAACCCTGCTTGCAAACCAACAAACGAATGGGGGGAAATCTTAACCTCTTCGGCTGAGCTGAGCATGTGAGCAGTGTTTCTGTGCTGTGCAGACTCTGCAGGGTTAATGTCACAGCAGCAACATGCTCAGCTGAAATGCCATTTTTAACCTGCAGGTTATTAGCACCACTGCAGCCACAGGGAGCAATAACCTCTGCCTGGATTATTCACGTTTCCTCACAATAATAATAAATCCCATGGTTTCACTCTGACATGTTCTTCACAGACAGGTGGAGGTTTTAAAACCAAAGTAAATATATTTAGCGACCCTGTCTCACTGCTGTAACTTTAGCCTCTCATGCTAACAAGGAAACCACATCATCTGAATGTGAAATACTGTGGGAAACGCCCAGGATCAAGGCTTATCCCCTCATGTGTTGGTAGAAACACAGATTTCACTGAATTCCTGCAAACAACAACACACCCAGGCTAGTTAGCTACATAACAACTGCAAAGCTAACAAACGGGCGAGAGATTTAACACGATTCTAACCTTGAATCTGATTATTAGCATCAACCAAACCAGCAAACAGGAGTTCATCGTGTTTTGTTTGTTAGAAATACAGCAGCCAGAGTTTCGGCTAATGTAGCCGCCCACATCCCCCTCGCGTTAAAGCTATCGAGCTATTTAAAGCCCGGCTAATGCTAACTAGCGTGCTAACGTGCTATGACTCGTAGTCGAGACTCACATATAATCCTGTTCTTCATTGCTGTTTGACAGAACGACCATCTTACTGCAGCGGAAACACGCGGACAGAGCGGGTCACTGAGAGGACGTGTTCAAAATAAACAGAGTTCAAGACAAACGTTACAGATCACACAGCTTAGCAGCTAACAGCTAACAGCTCACAGGCTCCTCCCACCACTGACACAGACAACAGGAAGAGTCAGCGTCATCACTCCGTCTCCAAACGATGACACCTGCACAGATGTTACACATCCAACACATCCGGTCATTTAAAATGTTCAACCTTCATTTTATTTCACTTAATCAAAGGCAGCAAGACCCGTTCAGTGCAGTTCAGTTTAGATAAGATAAGATAAGATATGATAAGGCAAGTTTAGCTTAGTTTAGTTAAGATAAGATAAAATAAGATAGAATAAGATTAGACAAGTTAAGTTAAAGGTACAGTGTGTAGAATTTAGTAACATCTAGTGTTGAAACTGCATGTTGCAGCTGAACACCCCTCACCTCACCCTCTCCTTCCAAACATGGAAAAGAACCTGTGGCAGCTTCAGTTGTCATAAAAACTCAAAAGGTGTTTAGTTTGTTCAGTCTGCACTAATGTAAAAAACATGGCGGCCTCCCTAGAGAGGACCCCCTCGATGTAAATATAAAGTATTTCAATATAAAGGATCTTTTCTGGGGTACAGAAAATAACAATTCATATAATTTAGATGAAACGAATGAGTGAAAACATCATGAGGATTATTCTACATTAAATTTCTGCCAATAGTTCAATTTCACCTAAATCTTACACACTGGACCTTTAAGCATTGATGTAAAATCTAAAATAACATCATCTAAAAAAATGTCCACTCGTGCACTCAGTGACTGGAGTTTGTGTGCATGTTACCATAACAGCCAGTTTAATAGGCTGCCACCTCTGATTGTTCTGAGCTTCTCTCACTGCTGCTGCACTGAAAAGGAGCCGAGGCGTTGCTGGCACTAAAACTAAATCCTGTTGAGTCTGAACAGTATTTTTAGAAGATCCTTTTTTTGGGAGATGATTGGACGACATCAGAGAAGATTCCCTGAGGTGGTTTCATCCAGATTCTGTGATGGGGAAAGAAATGAAAACAGTAAGACTGGAAAAGTACAAAGCAGACACACCTCCGATCATCGTGGGTGAAGTGAAGACATCACTTCCCAGGATGAGAGATGTGAAGTCTAAGGAGAGGATTAAGAAAGTTACCACATCAAACAAGGGCACGACTACATGTGAGACATCAGGGAATGTAATGAAGCTTTGTGTCAACTTAATGCCTGTTTTAGCTGCAGCCAGGGAGCTAGTAGATGAGGAGGAGGAGGAGGAGAAAGAGGAAGAAACCAGCTGCACAAGGGCAGAGGATCCAAAAACCAGCGATACACAAGATCCATCTATCACTAAATCAAAGCAACAAACATTCAACACAAGCGATTCTAACGCAGGATTAACCAGTGAGAGCAAACACTCTCTAAATCCTCTGTTTGTGCTGCCTCCTATAACTGAACCTGCACCAGCTCCTGAGTGTTGTGACCATCACAGGACCAAGAGGTTTCCCACACCTCTGCCTCCCATCGGTTCATCTGAGAAAACAACCACCAGCACCCCTCCGAGCTGCACAGGTGAAGCCTGTGGAGGTGACACAGCAGCTACAGGACAGGCGTCAGACAGCAGGCCCTGGATAGATAACGTCCTGCTCTCCAACAGTGTGAGTTAAACTACACCAAGTCAATTTTAAACCTGAGTGTTGATGGGTTTGCTCTGGGAAAAGTGTCACATTTTCTGATAAAGTGAGATTTATATGACTCTCTGCTGGCAGCCATGAGAATCTTGATCAACACTCAACATCAACAGGAAATGTTGAAGTCAAAGTTTTGCACAAGAGACATTTCTAAAGCCAGAAATTACAGCAACTTCCTGGAAAAAACATTGATTCACTGAAAGGGTTATATTATACAACAATACAGTAAAATACAAATGAAATGTCCTGTACTTTGAGTATTAAAACACATATTGAGGCATATTTCATTTTTCAATCTAAAAAAAGTCTAAAAGGTGATAAAATAGTACGATTAAAAAGGGTTACAGAGGTTAAAATGAAAAATTTGAAAGAATAAATACCACCAGCATCACTGTATTAGAAGTACATAAGCATTACTTTAACTTGAAAAAATATTTGTGTTTTTTTAAACACATTTAGTCACAAATGAAAATTTTACACAATAAAAGTAATAAAACAATAAAGAGATTAGAATAATCTAAAACAACAATTGAGTCCTTTCTGAGCAAAAAAACTTAGCAATGATTTGACTTTTTTCTCAGAGATCAGCTGAGTTTCGTCTTCCTGACATCTCCCTGTCCAGTCTGGAGGCTCTGCTGCAGACTGTCACGCAGAAACTGGCGAGGAAGAGGAGAGGATTGGGTGATGAAGAAGAACGATGCAGACGAGTCCAGTCTGATCACCTCCACACGACTGTTAGTGAACAATGTTTGAGAGAGAATACGGTCGGGCAGCAGATCGACGCAGGGTAAAACGCAGCCTATATCGTGGCGTACGACATGGTCGATTCTTTTTGACATTTTGTTTTTCATCAGTAACAGTTAAGATTTTGATGCATTCTCAACAGTTACTGAGGAATTATGCTACATGGACTAAAACCGTCCCCATTAAATGGTTATAAGCTGCTTTTACAGTGAACACTGAGCAGGAGACTTTATAATCAAATGTCATTTTTCTCTCTTTAAACAGTGGATCAGCATCAGAGACATCAGTGATTGGACACAGAGTGAACAGACAGAGGAGGCTCCCTCCTCAACCCACACTCATCCTCACTATGACGAAGAAAAACCTCCCCACTTACACCATGATGCAGTGAACTGGACTCACAACATACGACAGTGTTTTTAAAAAAACAATACAGGAAACAATATAGGTTTTATTTTCCTTCAAGACAAAACATTCACAACACAAGCATACCTGTTGTTTGTCTACACTAGTATATTCTCGCTATATAATGTACATCTTACAGTAGATAATCCTAAACTACAATTCAAGTAGAACTGTTCAAGCTTCATATGTTTAAAGTACATTTGGTTTGTAAAGACTTTCATTTCAAAATGAGGCAAACACCATTAAAAGTTTGCATAATTTCAGCCTTTTAAATACATTTTAACTTAATGGAACAGTTTGAATTTTGGAATGAAAGCCTTCAGATATACGTAATGTTTGTCTCATGCCGATACTGTTAAATAAATGTAACAGTGCAGTAACAACCTGCTTTAGACATTCAGTTTTCTTTTTTTTGATAGAAAAAAGTAAAATAAATTAAAACAACCTTAAAAAAAGGATTAAAAAATAACCGTTGACCAAAGGCATGTTGCTGTTGTGTCTGGTGTTTACAGCTCAGACTGAACGCTAATGTTAAGTCTTTGATTTATTAAACTTGATTCTTTTTTTTACTTTGGATCAATTGTTAAATAAATTTTTGAAAATATTGTAATATCTTATTAGAATTAATGAGGTTTCCCAACACTGTTACCTGATGACAATCACATGAAACAAATTAAAAAGAAATTGGACAAATGAAAACCTTGATTAACAAAACAATAACATTTGTATATTTTTTCATTAAATATCAAGAGTGAGCAGACAGCATCCCCTCCACATAAGCAATTCTGTATATTCTTCAGAAAGAATTTACAACCATGTAAATACCTTCTGGTATATAAAACAATCTTAATAATTACATTTACTTAAGCTTCTGTTTGAGTGTCTGCAGCATTTTTATCTTTTTTAAAGTGCATTCTCAAAAATAAAGGTCAGATTGTAAGAGGTATTAAGACGAAGCCCTGAGGAACGCCATTGGTTTTTTTGAACCTTGCATAATATTCATTCAGGATCAAAATATTTTAAATACTTTGGACTGATGAGACTGACACAGAAAGAGAAGACACAGTGTAAGATTCATGAGCCTGAAGAAAGAGTGTAAAGCCACTGATCTGTTAACGGGAGAACAAGGCACCAAAGCCATTATTAGGAAACAATAACTTTTGGTTCTGTCAGGAGGCCGAAGATACATTTAAATAAACTGAGTCACTTTCACCGATTGAAGACCGTTCAGTTCCGTTCCGTTCAGTTCAGTTCAGTTGTCTTTTGTTGCAGACTCAGATTGCTGCCAACACTGAAAAACATTCAAATGAACATAATGTTTTTTGTCTATAGTTGGTCCTTTCAAACTGCCTCCTCTGCTCGTGTTAACCAGTAACTTCACACCTCACTGTCCTGTGAGTTGCTGCCCACTATAAAAAGTGCAGATGGATCTTTACTGGAGCTCTGTACTCTATGTTTGGACTTTCTGGATTTACTGGATTGCTCCTTAACTCCATTGTTGCTGCTGTCTGATCCACTGCTGCCCCTGCGGCTCGTCTGAGGCATCTCCTGGTCCTTCTCCACAGGCTGAGGTAATGTGGTCATTGCCATACTGTTGCTTTTTTCTCCGTTAGATTTGTCTTCTTTAGATTTACTCTTGCTGGATTTGGCTTTTTTGGATTTTCCCTCCTTCGGTTTGCTGTCAGATGATATCGTCTGTGGCTGTGGGGTCTTGCTTTGCTGAGGGGGTGTGACTGGTGGGTGCGGTTGGATGGTGGATGGATTTATCCTGGAGGGCAGTACAGTCAGGTTGGTTTGTACTGTCCCGTTGCTGATGACCACATCTGTGAGGCCATCATCATCAGTTTGCTCTTTGGCAAAGTTGACAAATACCTACAGCAATGAACCAGAGTTAGTATTTTAATGAATTCATTATGGAAGTTCATATTAGTACGTGTGAGTGAGTGAGGATTCATTTTGGAGGGTCAGGGTGATGATGTGAGATTACTGATACTCTTTAGTTAGTTCACTGTTCATCTGTATATAATCCAAACTGCTAAATACAAATATGGAGTAGTTGCATCATCACGCTCACCTGGTCCAGTGTGGTCTGTGAAACAGAGAAGTCCGAGATGCCCAGCTCCTCGTAGTTGTTGGCCAACACGTCGAACACACGGGCCAGGCAGCAGGCGTGTGAGGGCAGCTGGTACTGCAGCACGTTGTGGTGACGCTCCTTAAGCTCGATGTTGGGGAAATAGCTTTTCATGTAGCTGCTGACGGGACACGAGTCTGGGCTGGATTTAGTATCTGCTAGACGAAGAATGATGGTGTAGCCATCGCCGAACCTGATGGATGGGACACGAAAAAACGGTTCCGGTTTGAAATTAGGATCTAGATGAGGTGTCATTCTGTGAATGTATTATAATATTGTAGTTTGAGATGGAGATAAACAGTGCAAGGGTCCGTTTATACTCTCTTAGGCAATTCTGTTAATTTCAGAACTGTTAAGACCCTGACCACTGCAGTCATCTCATGACCATAAAGCTCATCAAGTGACTTAGTCAGCTGCTTCGCTGTGACATCAAACTCCACAGAAATAAAACACAGAGAGGGTCCTTCACAGATCGGTTCACCGCAATGAGAGTTCAACTGTTAATTCAGTAAATGATACATAAGAGCGGTGACAGAATGTCGGGGCGGAATGCTTTGGGTTTAGATGTTAATCTGTGGCACTGGTTATTATTGACGTTACGCAGACACGTGTTTACCTGTTCTTCAGGTGCTGAACTGATCCCAGACACTGGAACCGGCCATTGACCATGATGGCCATTCTGGTGCAGAGAGCCTCACATTCCTCCATACTGACATAAAGACACAGGAGTAAACACATTAAATTTACACTGCGAGTCGATCTTCAGCAATAACTGATTTTATTTAACACCACTCGATGTCTCCGTCTTTTCAGAGCTCCAATGATTAAATAAGAATTTGTGGGTCCTCTTCCATTACTGCCTAGTGTTAGATTATCATCCTCTTTTAATGGGTACATGATAACTTATCTTACATCTCCTCCTACCTGTGGGAGGTGAGAACTACAGCTCTTCCCTCTTTGGTGACGCTGAGGATGCAGTTCCACAAAAATCGTTTGGCTTTTGGGTCCATACCAGTGGTGGGCTCATCCTGACATGAATTACAAAAATAAAAGCATGAGGGAAACAGATGATGTCTCTGATGACTACGTCTCTGATGATGGCTGTTTGTATTATGGGATAGCAAGATCCTGATCCCTCATTGTACTACCATGTCCATGTTGTTTTATGTTTTAAGTCTTATGTGTTGTACCTCTTGCTTAAAACACAAATTGCCTTTTGGGGACAAATAAAGTTGAAAGTTAAAGATGGTAAAATGTATGTAAAAAAACAAAACAAAGTTTAATGGCGGTCTACAAAGAGGCATGCTTGTGTTTTTTGTTATGATTACATGTGATACGTAGAGTTTTTTGTAATTTTTCATGGTTCAACATGGTTTTTATTGTTATTATGGATAAATTGGATTATCACCGAAAAGGCGATTATGCCATCGCATAATTTCTCATATTTTAATTCAGTAGGTAATATGATGATATGTTGACAGTAAATATTTCAGTCTCGATCATTGCTCTCCAGCTCCTTAGTGAACGAATTTGATCCTCACCAGGAATATAACAGGTGGAGCTCCAATAAGGGAGATGGCAGTGGAGAGTTTCCTCTTGTTGCCCCCGCTGTAGCCTCCAGCCTCTCGTTCAGCGTACTGCGTCAGCCCCAGCTTCTTCACGCCCCACTGCGCCACCTCCAGGACAAAAGAGATCACGTCACTGTGACATCCTGCAGCTGTATTAACTCCACCAGAACTACACTGGACATGTAGGAATTTGCAACATCCTATTGCAATATATCCGGTGCAATGCTGGATATGAGCTGTTCCTTTACCCTGGTGACAGAGTCCTCCTGAACCCCCCGCAGACGGGCGTACAGCTCCAGATGTTCCCGACCTGTCAGCAGGTCGCTGATGGCGTCAAACTGTGGACAGTAACCCATCAGCTGGTGGACCTGCTCCATCTCTGTCAGCACACTGAGAGCCACATAAACATACAGTTTATCACTTTAAATTCTAATACTGATGATTTCACTAACTACTTATAATATGACTGCTGCTGCAATTTCTTTCTTTACTACTCTCATGACTTCCAAGTAAATCCTGACAAACAGAAAGGTTCACAGTATAACCACATTTTCTTATCCATGTATTTGAGGGACTATTCATGTTTACACTTGTACCTGTAATGGCTGAGGGAAGCCTCTCCATAGGTGATGGGTGTGTCTCCAGTCAGCATGCGAAATGTTGACGTCTTCCCTGCTCCGTTCACCCCCAGCAGCCCGAAACACTGGAGGACAAAAACAACAAACACAACAACACAAAAGGAAGTCAAGACAAGGATGAGATCCATCAGCATAATCAGCAATAAACACTCTGATATCATCTCTTTAGGCTTTAGTACTTTATCAATATAAGTGTGATAACTATTAATGATTTTAGACAATGACTGTATCTGCAGTAGGTGATTCGGATAAAAGTTAGACACTGTCTCTGTTTTCAGTTTAATCATGACTGCTGCATGTGGTGTGAAAATGTCTCACCTCTCCCCGTGGAATCCCAAGGCAGAGACGATCAACCGCTGGCTTCCTGCCCGCTTTGTAAACCTGAAAAACACAATGAACAATGCTGCGATGAAAATTGATATTATCTTGTTCATAGGGGAATTTACAAACGAAGGCAGAAACTTCCTTGTTAGAAACAGAACTCAAATAAGAAGAATACATTGAGACTTTGGGCAAGATGGTTGTACCTTGCTCAGGTCTGTCATGGTGAGGATGTCTGACTGGGCTCTGCCACTTTTGACCCTCTCTCTTTCCCTGGCGACGTCCTCATCTTCTGGACCCAAAGGAGGCATCTCAGGCTCAGTCCACCACGGCCTGAACAGAGATAAAAGCACAGAGAATCTGATTTACATATATTTTTCACTAAAGTGGAATGACCTAGCTATGCGATGTGGGTTATGTTCCTGCAGAAAACACATTCACAGCTCCACACCTCCACAATTAGTTCATGTTTCAGTCAGAATGACGATAAGCTTAAACCAAGTAAACATTTCTGAGGAAGTTAAAGGTTTGATCCAACAGCAACCAGAAGAGGTCTCTATGGAAAAGTCATTTTAATCCTACCTGAAGTGTATGAAAAACTTGTATTGCAGCAGTATGGTGAAAATGAAGAAGATAACACCTTGAGCTGCCATCGCAAACAAGTTCTTCCCAATAAAATCCCAGTGCAGTGGATCTAGTGTCGGTCTGCTGCCTGGAGAAGGAAGAAACACACAAAAACATTCTGTATATTAAGTCCTGTGAGTTTGACTGCAAGTGATGAAAATACTGCACACAGAGTCCAATAATATAATATGCAATTTAAAGTAGAATACAACAATCCCGACAAAGTTACAGAACAAGGTACAACATGTATTTTAATGATATCTAACGACCAGGTTGGTATGTTTCTGATGAAAGAGTACACAGAAACTAGCTGGTACATATATGTGGAGGTAGAAATGTATAGAGCAGGAACAAAACCCTCCTCCCTGGCTTCATACCCAGTCTCTGGAAGGCGTCTGCCATGGCCTGATTTTTGGCCATGTCGATGAGACCTCGTCCCAGACAGAAATGAGGAAAGATGAGGAAGACTTTCTTTAGGATCCTATTCACCTCATTCAGATGCTGGAACAAAATGTCGAATAGTCAAAGGAACACAATGTTAATAACATTATGAGATTACAAGATTTTAGGCTTTTCGGTCTCACTTTTAAGTTCAACAATTAATTTGGGAAATTCTCAAATCATACAAAGTTTAGTGAGATTTAATTCAAGCTTTAAATGATGGAGACTTAGCCTTATTTCTTTTTTCCATATGATTGTGATGTAGCTGACAGAATAAAGCTCTTATTAGCTCGTGTTGTATCACATACGATCCCCTCTTTGTCCTGACAGTCACAGTTTATACCTCGTCTACAAACAGCTCCAGGACGAAGGTGGCGATGCTGCCGTTGATTCCAATGAACAGGTTGATGGAAGTCAGAACCACATAAGCTGTGCTTGGAACGCTGAACACAAAGGATGCTGGGTACATGAGAGGAGTAATGGACCACCTAAAAAAGATATTATGCAGTAAGTACAGAGAGAGCCACACTTTTGTTATAGACCATGATCCAAGTGGAAAATTACACATCATTAAATCTTAGTAATACGGAGGTCGTCTGATCTTTTATAATTTGATACAGGTGTTTATTTCATTATATAAATCCTATATCTATAGGGATCATTTAAATATTACAACTGCAAACATGTTTGTCTTTGTAGTTATGATTGATGATTTTGAGAGAGCAACACTATGGAATGAAGTCAGTGGATTCTGCTTTAACGTACCCATAAAAGAGGAGCAGCAGGACGAGAGCCGGCAGGTTTGTCTCAGAAACGTATGACTGCTGCTGGAAAGCGATGAAGATCAGCACCACCATGGTGGCTGGAACAGTGTAGTTCAGCTGAAAATGAACATTTCATTAGAGGGAGTCATTCTCCTATAGTATGAGCACTAAAATAATGGTACATTACATCAGTGACTATTATTTTCCAGAGACAATCATATAAACCAGATCATATTTTGAATGTAAGACCTCAACTCTGCAAAGTGAAATAATTTATATTATGGATTATATAAATGAATAAATCTCACAATATGACAAATGTGACACTTTCTCGTGAGTACTGACCATGTCCCAGGTGAAGTTGGCGAGCCAGTAGAGGATTGGTTTGACTCCGCTGACAAACTGAAGGTGTTTGGCTTTGCTGACTCGCTCCTCAATCAGAAAAAGGACAAAACTGGCCGGCACAAAGGACATGGCGAAGATAACGCAGATAGAAACCAGAACGTCCACTGATGTAGTCATCCTGAAGGAGTGACACACAACATACAAACAGACCTAAATCAATCCAATCCAGACATTCACTTAATAGATTATTGGCAAATTTTATGTAACTGCCGAAGGTTTATAAATGCTATAAATAAACCACAGGGGGCTGTATAACATCTACCACCATTAATCTGAATATCTTACATGGCCATTTCTGTGAGTTGCTCTTTGGTGAGGTTGAGCGGGTGGTTGTATGCAGTGATGCCGTGTCTAGCCCTCTCTGGACCTGGTGGTAGACTCGCTCTCAGCAGACCATTGTTCATAACGTTAACAAATGACACCATGGCATGCCAGCCTTTGTTATTGAACCACACCTAAGTACAACAAAGAGAAACAAGTATTTATATCAGATTTTTTCTTTAAAGACTCACAGAAGGAAATGAAGAGAAAAGATGAACATACAGACACACATTTACCTTGACATTGTTTTGACTGTTCAGTCCTCCGAGAATATCCGGCAGCCGGTTCAGAAGATTATTCAATGAACTGTTCTGTGATAAACCGACACAAACATTGTAAAACATGAGAAGAATCAGTAAGACAGCAGGATTTATTGAACAAGCCCGAGACCTCACTTTACCTGTGGAACTCTGTACCGAGTCCTGATTGCCATGACTGAGTCCTGGACATGATGGACCTGAGGTAAAATCTCGGTGGCGCCGCCCCCGAGGGAGAAGCCTCCATATCTGCAAAGCAGGAACTAAGTGTTTTTTTTCTTTTCAGTCCTTTAGAAAAGTACTTTGATACTGGAGATAATTTGCTTGATGGTGTTTTATTCCTGCAGCTTACCTGAATTCATTCACCCACTTCTTGGTTTTCAGGCTTTAAGTGAAACAGTGGAAAAGAGTAAATGTAAGAGGAAGATTTTCACAGGAAAAACGAGTAATGCAGGGCTGAAATCTCTCTCTCTCTCTCTTACGTTTATAGTTGAACTGTAAAATATCAAACCTCAATTAGGGTTTGATAAAGAACATCTTAAGAATTATTGCCATTTTTTAAAATACAGGAATATATCAGCCAATTTATTGGTATCGGAAATGTTTGACATCCTAATATGGATATCGCATCAGGCCCTAAACATCGATCAGTCGGACTCAAATAATTTCCTGAATAAAATGTTTTGACACGTTGACCAATAATCACAACTAAAAACATAGCTTGAGAAGAAAAATAATGAAAGGCCTGTAAATGAAATTCAGTGTTATTGTATTATCGTTAATGAAGTACCTTTTCTTGAGGATCTGAGAGTAGGTTTTCACCAGATAATCAGAGATATTATAAGTTGTTAGATTTTGGAGGATGTCTCCAGTCAGCCTCCGAATCTGAAAAATCACAAATCAAAAGATGTCAATTGAAAGTCGAAATGTTACAAGACTCAAGGAGATGTTGGCTTTGTTTTGGATTCAAATGATCACTGATCAAACATCCAACATTTCATCAACACTGCTTTCTGTCCTGATGTGAAATCTGACCTGTGGTGGTGGCAGTCCACCAGCACCCTGCGGACAGTCGGGAAGCATCCGTCGAATGTCCTCTGTGCTGCACTGACATTCAGGGGAGGGTCTGTCTCTGCTCCAGTTTCCTCTGTTGAACATCTGCCAAGTGGAGTAAGACACCTGTGGTCGCATGAACAGACCATCCCGCTCACCTTCACACTGACCACTCCTGCAGGGAGAACAGGGAGTCAACACAGTGTTTTCTTTGGTTTTAAACATGGAAATACAGTCTGACTTTCTGAAATTAAAAATAAAGTAATATTTAAAAGCATACAGATTCATTCAAACCCAGACATTTGGACAGGCAGAGATAATTTTACAGATAATGTTCATTTAAACACCAGATTACTTAATACCTCCAATACCCCTCTACAATATACATTAGTTAAACCTGAAATCAATGGACATGCCAGTTTCTTCTGAAGACCATGTACCTGTAACTTCTTAAATTGTTTCCAATTGTTTCACATGAATCGGTCTAATATAGGTGTACTTACTGTTTGTGATCTATGATGTCATAGCTGATGTTGTCATCCAAGCTGGAGACAACTTTGTACTTCTGTGCGATAAAGCTGTTTTTATTTATCTATTTATTAATAATCTATTGTCTCAGAACCTTTATGACAGTCTCGACCTCAAGTGATGTCAGTGAGATATACTTGTGTTTACAGAGATTCTCTTACGTGCTGTTGTGCTCTTCCTCTGTCTCCATGCACTTTGTACCAAACCCCGGCTGGTCCAGTAGAGCTTCCAGTAAGTTCTCCATGGCTGGGTTCCCAGGGGCGTCGTTGCTGTAAGTACCAAACCAGAGGTGACGAAATAACAAGCGACTGAGTGAAGACAGCGACCAGAATTACTGTTAGTAGCTGGTTACCTCTGAGTAGAGTAAACTCATCCACAAAATCTTTTCTGTGCTGAAAAAGATACTGAATATTTGGGTGGAGGCCAACCTGAAGAAGGTGTACTGTTGTCCGTACATCCACGGCTGCAGCTGCAGGTTGGGGTACTTCCCAAACGGAGGTACAATTAGGCTGAAGAGAAGGGCAACCAGGACAAACACGGCAGGGAGAACAATCTGAAACAGGAAGAAAAGATTGACTTTACTACATAAAATCAATGTTTCTCTAGTGATGACTGAGGACTGATAGCTAATTCCCCTTCTGGAACATGTGAAGTCAACAATTTATTTTGTCAAAAGACTTAACAGTTGCTTCATCATCTAATTTAAGGGAATATCGCATGTTTTCATTATGGAAACACTATAGAGTTTGGCTGGTGTTTGCCATCACCTGAGCGAAGAGGCCTCTGCGGCTCCTCCGAGCGTAAAGCCAGCGCTTGACAAAGAGAGCCCTCATCTGCTGCCACGTCAGCCACCAGCCGGTCATGGGGACCCCACCTCGGCCGTCTCCGCTCAGCAGGTCTGTCTCCTGGGATTCTGTAAACAGGAGAGACAAGATGAGATCTGACTCTAATATACTGGGATGAAAAATACATAGACTACTGTCAGTGTCATCAACCTTTGATTTGATGATGACAGAGAAAAAACGTGACATGACAACTGAGTTACATTTTATTGTTGTGTTTCTATTTAATTATCTTTCATCAAAGGGCAGTCATGTACCACAGTGTCACTACTACTAGAAAGACAAGGGTTCAGTGTGTGGAGGCTTAATCAGGCAGTGTCCACAGCTACAGACACTTACGGCTAATACGTTTTGGTTTTCTGATGATGTGTACCTTGCTTACGAAGCCTTTTCCTTCCTGGCAGCAGCATGAAAACAAACAATTGGAAACATGTTCTGACTGTACATAGAAACACTGTGTGGTATGAACACACATCTAGTGTGTCAGAGTGTTAGTGAATACCTGTCTCTGGTTCTTCAGCACATTGTCGCTCCACTCTTTGTCCTGCTGGTGGCCGTCGACCGTGAGAAGGTTCATCCTGCAGCTCAGATTCAGCTTTCAAGTCTGTTTCCTCCGCCACTCGCAGGAAAATCTGGAAAAGAACACAACTGCTTTATCAACACAAAAAAAAGAGAAGTTCAACTCTTAGGTTTATGACAAAATGGTAAATCTCCAAGGTCTCATTTAAACATGAAACTCTTCTCTGTAGCAGCCCTGAAATAACACTGAATTTAATTCACCGAATTCAGCTTTAAATTCAAGTTGACGTATTGATTCAACTTGTCAATGTTTAAGATACGGTTACATTTCTTGCGTTTGTTAAAGAGACACCCTGGAATTTGTCTTTATGTTCTAAAGGTTGAAGATGTCATCAGCAGATGGCAGTAAAAGAACACCAAATGGTTAGAGGTCAGAGGACCAGAGAGCGAGTACGTTATTCACAGGGAAAACTTATCAGGCTCCAGAGGTCCACTATCAGAGCTAATCTGATGCTAGAGTTAAGCCCATTAAGACCATGGCTGCTCCACAAATATCCAGCCTCCCTGATAAGACCTGGCTGAGCTCATGTAAATCACACCAGTGAGATGCTGCCTCACTAATGTGAGACGTCATTTACAGACACTTTACACACATAAAGCTAGGTGAGATTAGTGGGAGAATGTTTTCAGGTCTGCACCAGAAATATTATATAGAAACCTGATTTTTTTTCAGGCAGACTGATTTAAATGGTCTGTATGGTACTACTTTTGTAGTCTTGATGACCACTCAAAGCACTTTTTCACCCTTCACACACACATTTATACAGGGCAGCACTTTTTCTATGAGAAAGGCACAGTCGTCAGGGGCATCATGGGGTTCAGTGTCTTCAGTATCGACTTCTCTTCCTGAGCCACAGCCACCCCTCTTTTGAATAAAGTGAGGAAATAGACATGTGTGAGCCCCCTGCATAACCAGGAAGTTGTGACAGTGGAAATTCTGGAGGATGGATCATTTCTCATGTTAAACTGATCTTTGAGGTATAGTAAGCTTGCTCCATATAGCTGTGCAGCTACATGCATAACAACAGGAGAAGAACTCTTAAGACCATTTGAATTCAATATGTTTTCTTTTTAGTAGGAATGTATGCTCAAGGCTTAGAAGGTTTCTGACCAGGAGATATTTATTCATCCATCAATGTAGATGTAAATGTTTTACCTCCTCCAGTGAGCTGTCTGAAAGGCCGTAGCTGCTGATGCCCAGCTCAGTGAGCCTCTGATCCAGGTCGGACAGAAAAATGGCCAGGGTACTGTTCTTAGCAGCTTCCTGCGGCAGGTTGATCACGACCTCACTTCCTGACTCCTCCACCAGCCTCGCACCCGGGATGTGGTGCTGTGCCAAGGCGAGCAACGCTGCCAGGTCTGCCATGATGATGATGATGATGATGATGATGGTGAGAGAGGAATAACATGAGTTCTTCATGATCCCTACGGTATTTAATCATTAATAACAAACTGGTGCTTTCAGAGAGTCTAAGTGCACCACACTGCACTTAATAACAATCATTTTGCACCACCTAAGTTCAGAGACTATAACAGCTGTTAAACACTCACATGAGTTGTTCTCTTCACTTCCAAGCCCAGTGTCTTCACTCAGTGATGATTCACTGTCCTGAAACAGTTGCAGTAGGACAAACATGGTGTAAGATGATCTACACCAGACAAAACACTTTCACTCCTGCAGTGTTGTTTTAAAAACTGTTTCTTTGTATCATAGTTTTCCTTTTTAAGGACAAACAGCTAATTTGAACATTTAATGGGTGATGTTGGACCACATGTATCGAATGTGAGCAAAACACGACTGATGTCACAGTCAGGGATCAATCAAACTCTACTTTAAGGTAAAATGTTGCATAGTGCTAATTTAAGTAAAACAAAATCAAATCTTGGCACATTTAACTTCTCACAGATATTTAAAATAAGAAAATAAACCAAACCTTGAGAGGAGGCAGCTTGTTGGTGCTGATGCTGGTACTGGTGCAGATACTGGTGGTGCTGGGAGTGCTGGTGTTGAGTCCTTCCCTCTTCACCACAGTGAGGTAATAACCAGATCCCAGCTGGGATTTCAGGAACAGCGGTGAGCCGCAGCAGGAGAGCTTCCCCTGGGAGATGATGGCGATCCGGTCACCCAACAGCTCTGCCTCATCCATGTAGTGAGTGGACAAGATTATGGTCCGGTCTTAATGGAGAAAACAGCAGAGAAATATCTTCACTCGGTCTTTAAATTTGTGTGCTGTCTCGTATGTTTTGCTTGACATCGCTGATGTTTTTTGAGGCAGATGAACTGTTTAATTGTAAATAATTGCATGCATAGCTTTCAGATTGGTTTGTCAGCACTAATGATAACTGGTAAAAGGAATGAAAGGACTCATTCAAAACTATAAAAAGCTTAGTTTGAGAAACTGTAGCACAAAAAATACTAGAACCATCTTTCAACCTTTTAAAATTATCTCAGGACGTCTTATCCTGACCCTCAACCGCCACCACAGTTGATATAAGCCCTTAGTTCCACACCTTTGCGATATTTGAGCAACAGATCCCAGATCCCTCTGCGGGAGTAAGGATCAACTCCAGCTGTAGGTTCATCCAAAACAACCACCTTAGACCCCCCTACAAACGCTATGGCCACAGACAGCTTCCTCTGCATGCCACCTGACACAAACACAGAGGGACACAGAGAAAAATAGGTTTTCATCAATAAAAAGTTGATTAACACCTTTATATTAATATAGTTCCATATGTCAAAAGTTAAACTAGTGATTTTACCAGAGAGGTTTTTGGTCTGTTCATGTCGTTTGTGCAGCAGGCCAACATTGTCCAACAGAGTGTCCAGCTCTGCATTCACCTCTGCTTCAGACAAACCCTTCAGACATCCATAAAACCACACGTGCTCCTCCACTGTTAATCTGAATGAGAGAGAAAGACAAAGAGACAGAGAGAGAAGCAGATTAAATATGAAAATCTGTCAAAATCTATCTATTCCTTGAAATAAAACTGTTTGGTTACAAATTATTTTGAAAAAGACTGAGTTTGTTTCTAGATACAGAAAAATGAGACCTGAATCTTACATGTCAAACAGGACATTGTGTTGTGGACAAACTCCCAGCATCCTTCGGATGATGTCCATGTCGTGGCGAATGTCCATCCCCTTGATGTAGACAGTCCCAGAAGTTGGTGGGAACAGGCCCGTCAGAACGGATCTAACGTGTAAAAAAAAGTTTAAAGAAAAATACCTTCCACATTAGATTAAATCAATATCATCATTTTTCGGTTCTCAGCTGAACTCACATGGTGGTGGTCTTGCCAGCTCCGTTGTGGCCGAGGAACGAGGTGATCTGTCCCTCATAGAACTTCAGGTTGAGGTGGTTTACGGCCAGTTTGGCTCCCTTCTTGTAGATTTTCACCAGGTTTCTGATGCTCACGCCCAGGATCAAGTTACTAGGCTCTGCTTCAATGTGATCTGATGACAGACACACAATTCTTATACTTTGAAGAGACAACTGATGTAATCCATCATTGACGTGGACGATGTTCCTAAAAAAAAAATCATATCATGACCCTTTTCAATTCACGATCACTATTTACAATGTGAATTGGGATCTTTCCTCCCAATTTTGAAATATACTGTCGAGAATATAAAGACTCAAATCACCCAATGGACTTTTAAAAGATTTAAAACAAAATACTGCATAAAGACACAGCTTTGAATGGCACCATATCTTTAGCTAGATAGGTATTCATCAACTCTGACACCTTTGATCAAAACGGATACAAAATTAGCTCTGTCGGGATATGAGAATCTGGTCATGTGACACAACCCTACAGGAAAGAACTCCATAACGAAAGGGTTTATGGGTAGCAAAAAATCACACTCAACTGGACCAACTGCTCATGTTCTGCTTCAGTCTTAATGTCATCTTAAACATTGCAGATAACAGGCTTAATGTCTCGGCTCATTCACTTTTTATTATTAGTTAACTTGCTTAAGATTATGAAACTACCAGTCAGGTCTTTTAATTGTTATGCAAAGCAGAGAAGATGTTGGACAGAACCCCGACCTGCCACCAAAATCTGTAACCAATCAACAAACGAATCGGTCATGTGACTGTGTGTACAAACTAGATGCTGATCAGACAAAGCCAACTTTGTGTGATTTAACCTTTGGATGACAATGAAAGAAAAGCAGAAAACCTGAAGAGAACAGCAGTGCTGCTGTGCAGCAACATCTGGAGTCACGTACCTTCATCCTGCTCCGTGGGTGCCGGTGGAATCGGCATGCCTGCCTCCAGGGGAACTCCTCCCCAGTAGTTGAGCTGGAAGATGAAATACCAAGGCCTTGGGATCCCATATTCACCTGGTTAGAAAAAAAAAACCCAAAAACATATTTTCAAATCCGGGTTCAAATGATGGACAGGACAGTTTAATCAGAGACTGAATTTGTTTTTTACTGACTTTTTAACAAAAAAAAAAAAATTAATGAAAAAAAAGAGTTACAATTAATTTGTAGTAATTTCATTTTCTTTCTTTTTAAATAAGGGGAAATAATAGCATTGTACTTGTGTCTTTTTATATTCTGAAGACTAACTAATTCTTAAATTTTACAGTGCTACTCCACCTCAAAATCACTGATGCTCACCGTTCACTTAGAATGTGAGTGATTTACTTAACTGTTTGAACCTTTCTCCTTTACAGAGAAGGAGAACTGGTTGGCTGGCATTCATGGTTTCATAACATTAACTCCGAGACTGGAAATAAATGGTACACCATGTCAGATATCCAGTTCCGCATGTGTACATGGGCAACTGGACTTGTGTCTCTTGAAAGTCCAGTTTTCAATATCAACATATAACAACTCTTAAAGATACCATGACCTGCATGACTGAGAATCTTCCACACAAATATAGTTCAAGAAAGATTATGCCTGAGAAAGAACCAGTATGGACAAAATGTTGTCTTTACTCTGTGCAATAAAATGTTCAAGAACTCAACATTTTTTTTCCTTGTCAGATAAAGTTCCAATGAAAGTGAATGTAGTCATACCAGGAAACACTGCTTCGATGTACCAGGCTGCAATGGCGTAGATGAAGGCATCCACGTAAAGCATGATGATAGAGATAGTGAAGCTGTAGGCGTCACCTTCCACAGGGCTGGAGCGCAGGTTGTACCACTGGATGCCCACACCTTGCTCCTCGTACTGAGAGAAATACTCACAGCCGAAACCAAACGCCACAGGAGAGAGAAAACTCTGAGGAAAGGAGAACAGACCATCTTTAATCTAGGAGACACTTGTTGAGACAATACTCAGAACAAAAGCTTCAGACATTATATTTCTTTCCCTCAGCTTTTGGACACAATAAAACTTTGATTGTACCCATATTTATTTGACTTACAGCGAGGATTCTGTGTGTAGTGTTGAGGTGGTCTCTCCAGGCAACACACAGTACATAAGGCAGGTAAAGGCTAAAGTATATGAGCCCCCCACAGGCAGCAGCCAGGTTGGCTTTGGAGAAGAAGGTACTAATGAGAAAACACTGCATGATGGTGGCAGTGGCAAATGCCATGAGGAAGAAAAAGACAACAGATGGGTCGCTGTATGGCAAGATGTCCCCGAACTGGAAAGAAATAAGACAAGAGGGCATTTAGCATTAATATGTATTATCTGTTTTTTAATATGTTTGCTGCAGGGTGAGTGGTCATCTCGCCTTGAGCATAGCAATAAGAAGCGCTGCAGAAACCAGGAAAGGAACCACGCTGCTGATGAACCAGCTGAGCCACAGCGTTCCTGTTCCTAGACCCATAATCCTCATGGTTTCCTTCAGCCTCGCCTCCTTCTCGTACACCACACCTTTGATGATCATGGCGACCGAGTAGATCCAGGCCAAAGTCATGAAGAGTGGAAGGGAGCGGTTCAACACTCGGAGAAAACTGAGGAAATTCAGGATAAAACTGAGAATTCACAATCTAAATTTCTTCCAAATGCAAAAATAATGGTGCTGTGAAAGCTTTAAGAAGCACATTTAGTCTTTTTGATTAATCTTAAATTATTACAATACTTGTTATGATTTGAATATACGCTAACTTAATAAAACCCAAACAGACCCTGAAACAGACTTAAAGAACAACTGGGATTAAGTCAGGGATCCAGATGGGAGATTGTGGATGCACTTGACTGTTCCCGATATACGACTTACACATCATCCACATAGCAGGGGTAGGGCATCTGCTGGATGTAGATGCCCGTAGTCTGTTTAACTCCAGTCAGGACACGACTCACAGCTTGCTCCACCAGGTCCTGGACGTACACGAAGCCGCCCCATATGTAGCGCATGTCACTGAATGGGTCAGCTGCTGGGCCAGGATCCCAAAACCTGATGAAAAAAAAAGAAGAGAGAAGCAGGTAATCAATGATGAACAAAATACGTCACTATAATCTAAGTTTCTCTGTAAAAAGTTCACAATTATTGAGGGCAAAACCACAACACTATTACTCCTTTAATGTGAGCAGGATAAGAGCATTTGGGTGTTTTCTCACTACCTGTCCTTCATCTTGTTGGTCCGAGTCACATCATCAATATCCATTCGGATCTTGTAGGTGACATGAGGCGGCAGCTCAGCAGACGTAGAGTTGGGCAGCAGGAAAACTACACCCGCCCAAAACTGCCTGTCCTCCAGCAGCTCAAGAGCTCTGTCAATCAAGTGACCCTCACTTTCCAACCCCTCCAGTTTGTTCAGAGAGAAACACTGCAGCAGCGGAAAAAAGCATACGACTACTTCAGCATTCATTGCCTGTTTCAAAAGCAGCACGGAAATAAAAAAATAAAAAACAGAGAAAGAACCTCTGTGACTTGTGCGAGAGTGGTGATGGTGTGGCTGATGTCATTGTAGATGTCCAGCCAGGTCAGGGGTGCTCCAGGATTCCTAGGGGCGTCTGGTGAAGGTGTGGCCAGGAATCGAGAGATCCGCGAGGCCGTCCAGGAAGTATTTTCCAAACGCAGGTTGACCAGGACTGCAACCTCTGGCCGCCTCAACAAATCCTGCACACAGATAAATTATACAAGACAATGTTTTTTAGTCAAGTATCTGACAACAGATTCATCCCGACAGTGGTTGGTGAGTCAGACCTGCAGCAGTTGAATCTGAACGCTGCTCTCCATGTATCTCTTGACTTGAGGTCCCACCTCCATCCAGGCTTCGTTCAGCTGCTGGAGGATCTGCAGGTCCTCAAACGTTTTGTTCACCTATAGCAGACACAACTTGTAGTTATTCTTCAGGGATTCATTCACCTCATGATGCTTTAAGATGTCTTACAAGAAGAATATGGCAGAAAACATTCATAAATTGTAAAGAAATTCTTTTTTTTCCAAGAAAAACCTCATTGGCTTCACATTTGACATGTGTAAATGGCCCAAGGTAGTCCAGTGTCAAATGTGGATTTGGACATGCGATATGTTCAATATTAATAAAGTTTGAATAAACAGGCACCTGCGCTCTGTAGCTGCAGCAGCTGGGACTCAACAACTACAAAGTGGCATTGTCTAGAGTCTGGGGAGAACCAAAGCTGGCCACTTTTACAGTTTCAGAAAGAAAGCTGAAACCAGCATCACCACAGGCCAAACTAACAGCCCATTACACACAGGTATGTTTACAAAGAGCAATGCACTTTAAATGGTAATGACACATGCTTTGGATACGTAAAATGACAGCAGTGAAAAATGTCTTCTCCTTAATCAGTTCCTGTCTATTTAGCAGACAAACATTTGCACAAAGGTGGTCATCAATCTTGCTGGGTGTTTTGTCGCCTGCAGACGAAAATATGTTTGTCAAACAGGTAAGGTGACAATCATTAACCTGTTAAAAACTTAACCTGTTGAAAAATGACAATCCTTGTCCCCTAACTACCTCTCTAAAACCTTGATGTTGTACCTCTTTCATGACTTGTTTTATAGCAGGTGTGTCTGGTGTGTACAGCAGTTTTCCAATAAAGAGAGGTTTGATTCCTCGCCACACAATGCGAGACAGAGGGTTGGACTCCAGACCGTGGATCAAACTTTTACAGAAAGGAGCTGCAGGGCAGGAAAGAAGAGACCGAGGGGGACAAATGTTGAATGAACAATCCAGGTTAAACAATATAAACAGTGCACACAGAACAGCAGGAAATTAACTGAGAAGCTCTGTGCAAATCATCTCAGCTCCAACACTTGCCAGATTTTGTGTTACACAGCAATTTATTAAATCTAAAACTGTTCTAAAATCAAATTTAAAATCAGTCATATTGCATAACATCCAAAACTCTAAACTGCAAAACCTCTTACTGGTGTTGTTGTCACGGTCCAGGTCGGTGACCTCAGTGCCGTTTTTGCCTAAGAAGGACTTGATGTCATTGTCTTCATACCAGTTGAGTGAAGGGATGCGTTCACCGCCGACCTCAGGGTGACCGCACATGATCCTCGAGAAGGCTCGGAAACTCTCTCTGGGCAGCGCTGTGCGATTTTCCGGTGACAGAAGACGAAGCGCTGCACTCATCTCCGCAAAACTGGAGAGGGAGGAAAACTGAGAGAAAACAGAACGAGGAATAGGTTGGGAGGAACAGAAAGGCGATGAAACTTGCAATGACATAATTTCAACACCTGGTGTGTTTCCATAGGGATTAACTGAAACTTTCTGACCCTGTTACTCATTTCAATGTGTTTTTCTAAATGTAATAGTATTGATATTATCGACTTAGGCAGCATAGGTGCAGAGGAAAATCTGCACGAAGCACAACATTAAACTATTAAACCCTCAACAGAGGATTCTGATATCATATATGAACAATAACCAACCTTTGATCTTTTATCTTTGATATTATGACAAATCCACATTATTCAGTATATAGCATATTAATTCAGCCACAACATAAAAATCAGAGACCGCTAAAAAATAACAAAGATGCAGCAATGGTCTCAATTGTTTAAAAAGACTTATGTGCAAGACAAAACATTCTGTCCAGTCTTGAGTCCATTAAATGATTGAAATACAGAAAAGATATAGATTTCAGTTCAGATATATGTCTTACGTCATCCATGAGGACAGCCATCTCCTGGGAAACTGAGGTGACTGCCTGACTGATGTCCCTGAGGTCTGCAGCGTTGGCCATCAGACGGTTTCTCTGACAGGATGGAGACACAGAAAGTTTTATTGCTGGCATCCTCATCAGATATGTAAGGGAATCAGTGTCACAGCAAACAGACAGAAAACTGTAACTGAATTCATTGAATCTAACTTGTCCACTGATTCTTACTGTGAAGAACTTGGTGAAGTCAAGCTGAGAGAGAAAAATGTGCTCGGCCTCTTGCAGGACGTCAGCGGGAAGGTCACACAGCTGAGTCTGAAGATTATTCATAGCAGCTTCTCCTCCATCCACCGTCAGGAACTGTCTCAACATGCTCGCATTACACACCAAGTCCTTTAGCTGCATTTGAGCTCCAGCCACTGTAACCTGAAAGGGATCAAATTAATTCCAAACATTCACTTCTAAAGGGCTTATGAGAAATAAAACCCATAAAACTTCTGCTTGCCTTTAATTAATTTTTTACCTGAAAGTTAAGACGAGCCTTCATTAGCTGGTCCACGGTCACAGGGGACAGAGTGGTGTTGGTCAGGAGGAAGGTGGAAAGAGTCTCATTGGCTCTCATGTAATTTTCTACTGTTTCGACTGCAGAGGAAACAGAGACATTAAAATCAATGACAGAATATATCCACAAGCTGTTGGCAGATCCAAGCTCTATGAGGCACTAATAGACATTTTAGTTCATTCAGGTAACACATAACATCCAATACTTATGTTCCTCTCATTTAGAATTTCATATCTTTGTCTGAAATAAAATTGTAATGCAGGAGTGATACTACTAAAATGCTGCATTACTTTTGTTGATCAGTCCTCAAGCAGAAACCACACCATCTTTTTCAAAAACCTGTTTTGATCTGGTTCCAGTAATGTGCTTTCATTAAAAATTCATAACATTAAAATCCACTCAGCTCTAGAGACAGAAATAATACTGCTGAGATTATTGATAATTGCATTTTCCTCATTTATGACAATGCCTTTCATCCTGCCTTCTAGTTCACTATCTAAGTGCTGTTTTTTGCAACAAAATGGAAATTTGAGGGCTCAAACAGGCAAATTATATTTATTCTGACATTAAAATCCTCCATTAGGTTGATAATGGGGGACTTGTTGCAGAAAAAAAACTGAAGAACCTGCATTCATTCATCTGATTGTTTGTCTGGGGTAGTTGTGTAATCTAATCTGCCGACAGTGAAGAGAAGCTGAACAGACTCCCTGTGCTGCGTTCACAACAGGCCCCACTCAGCCAGTCACTCAACACCTGTTTAAAGCCACTGATGGCTTTACTGTAACCCTGACTGTCACTGTAACCAATCAGTCCTGCTCAGATAAGTCTGGGAACAGAGCTGGATCAGAAGCAAATCCTGGAAACATTTCAGTGCTTTCTAACCTCCAACCCTTGATCGTCCACTGTAGTTTAATCACTTAAGATGTTTGTGCATCTGCAAAATTAAGCAATTTCAACACCAAAATATGAAACTTGCAAAACATGCATTTATATGTACCAGTATAACAGTTCTGCTACATGACAAAGAAACCTCCAGTGCCTTCATTGATGTATTCACTAACTGAAACACTACGGTCCTCTCGTCTCCCTGTTCTCGAACACACAATGACCTTGTTTACATCTTCACTAGCAGAAGCCAAGGATGTATCAGATTTCCCAATGTGCATAATTTATTCAGATTCCTGGAAAGCAATATTAAAGGTAAACAATGACATCATACTCTTGTCCGTAGTGTTTTGCCATACTACAACTTTCTGACCAACATTGCCCACTCATGAGGTATTATTTTCTGAGTAAAGTGCATATGAAAAGTAAACAAGAAATAAGCTGTGGTACTTGGCCAAGCTCCAGGTCTCGCTCCCAGCCTCCGGACACTCTCCATCAGATCCTGAAAGCCTGAGAAGCTCTGGTTTCCACCGTAGGACAGAATAGCGTGGGCGTCCACAAAGAGACGAGACAGTCTGTGGGAGCAGTGGACAAAAATGTGTCATTACTAGAACAAACACAACAGTTAAGCTTTACATAACTGCTGCAGACTTTATTCAGTTAACCGGCAAACACAAAGTGGATGGTGACTTATTAATAACTATTTATAATACAATTATTAGTTTCTTTGTCTTTCAATATCATGGATTACTGCATTAATAATTAATCATCTTCCTGGGAACTCCAGGAATCCTCACACCTGTCCATTCTTTCTTTGAAAATCTCTTGTCTACCTACATTGAGTTGTCAAAGTTGCCAAATTGTCCCGGGGTCTCCCCTGGTGTCGGGCTTTGGAAGCAGGGATTGTTGATGTTGCAGACGATACCCTGAATCCAGGGCAAGGTGCCTGCTGAAGGCAGGGCTTTGTTTGGGAAATGACCTAGAAAGAAAATCAAACACAAATAGTTCAGCAGAGGATGATTAGCCTTAAAACAAAACAATGAAAACACTGTAACTCAATCTACGGGCATCTGACTACTAGTAAGCCTATGTTATCTTTCTGAATGAATTCTTTTTTGTTTTTGCATAACTGATAATAATCTAAGGATTCCCATTCGGGTCGGAGCTGCCTTTACAAGACTGATCCGAAGTAGAGAAAAACAGGGAGAGGAAAAAGTGTTCTTACTTTGTTTCCCCTCCTTTACTTGGAATACATCATTACTATGTCATGGTATATCACGTTATAAAAGTAAAGTTCTAACCGAGCCTATAAGGACATTTTTATACAAATGAAAAACTTCAAAAATCAGGTCAAGAACTTCACAGCTTAGGAAAACAAATGTGCGTGTCTGGCAGAGGCATCACTCAGAGGGACTTAATCCTCTTTAGCTGATTGGTAAAGGGACAGTTTTTGACCTGTGTGGGAGTATGTGTGAAAAGACAAGTATTACATCATATCACTCACATTGCTTCTGTTTGTAAGGAGGGTGTGATTGGCGAACAGAGATGAGGATGACAAAAAGGAAGAGCGGCCAGAGGAGCTCGATGATCAGCTGGACCTACATGAGGAGAAAGATAGGAGCTGTTAATGGGCAATTAAATACTTACTAATGATACTAACAGCAGCAGGACTGTCACCTGGAGTGTCCTACACAAATAAAACTTCAGACAGGGCAGGTATAGCTGTGTCTCATTTATTAGTTTTTTCTTACAGATTAAAAAATCTACTCTTTTTTTCTCTATGAAGTGAATAACGGAACCTTGTTCCTCCTGCGGTATGTGATGTTCTTCCAGAGCAGGAGGAAGAGCTGTCTGAAAAACCCCATGGCTCTGGACAGCTACCTGAGCATGATGTGATCCTGGAAAACACAAAATGTGGTATATTTTATACCATATTATACAAACAATATAAACATACTGTAACATGATTGCACAGAGATGATAATGGGGCTGCGAAGATATAAAAATAAGTATTTCACAATTAGCTAAACCCAAGTGAGTTTATTGTGTAGTCCCAGTGTTACTTGGTATACTGTATACTTGGTACAGGACTGGTTGTACTTTTCTTTTTCTTCTGATTAAAATGAATCTAATATTAGTGACGACTGTAGTGAACTGCACCTGACCTTTCTCCTGCAAAAGATAAAACTGAGGCTGAGTACAGCTGAGCTGAATAGATACATTTGTATAACTTTTCCATATTAGAGAAAGTGAACCCCCCTATGTGCGGCAGATCAAATGGGTTGATGTTGTATTTATTGTGAGAGAGGGTTGTTTTCCGTGCCCGCTGTGATCTGCTGAAGGCGGACAATCCCCTGCTTTATCCTGAAATCCTCCTGATCCTAACAGCTTACCTGTGCACCTCTGAGACACTCACTTTTGCTCTGTGAATGTGAACGCCTGATGGCATCTTCCTTGTGTTTGTGCTGAAGTAAATAGTCTCAGGATCCAGATAATGATTTGTGCCAGGTTGCAATGAATGATCAGGCTAATTCCCCTCCATCTGAGACACTGTGTAGCCTCAGGTAGTTTTCTGCCTTCATCTGTATAAATTTCAACACTTTGCAGATGTCTGTGACTAAGTGTTGCCACGTGTTTGTAACGTCTGTATTTTCATTTTTTTCAATCTATTTTGTCTATGCAAATTAATTTCATTCAAATATTTCTCTATTCTGAGGCTTTTGTGAAGGTTTAAAGTAGGAAAATATGGGATATTATTGCAATGGGATATATTTGTCAGCCGATGTAGTTAGTTTAACTTAGCATCTAGAGAAGGGCAATAAACCAACATCTACATAAAACTTTTCATCAATAGCAACGTAACAAAAGTCCAATATATCGACAAATTGTGCATATAACACACAATTTAAATAGAAAATAAAATAGAAAAATAAATAATAATGAATAAAAACTATATTTGTGATGTCCAACCATAGAAACGACCCATTCAAACAAAATGTAAAGTAAATGCATAACATATATATGTATACATATATATATATATATATCACTAATCCACCAATATCGCTGCTTCACTTCAATATCACCTTTTACAAAAGAGTGGAATAAAACAAGTGAACCACGCGGGGAAGAGGAACAAGCTAACACCCAGCGTTAGCGTCGCATCAGTACACAGCTTCCTGCCTCTGGCGTGTTGCAGACCGGGGCTGTTCCTGAGGAAGCGGGGCCTCTTTTAAATAAGATAAATAAACCGTGATGAAGCGCGGAGCCTCGTGAGACTGTGGTGAATCATTACCTTGGTGTCTGACCGGCGGTAAACCTCCTCCTTCTCTCTGCGGGGACGACACGTAAACAGCCGCTCGCTCGTCACTGACTCTGTCGGGTCGTGACAGCAGGTGGAAGCTGAGGCAAGGCCCGCCCGCTTCGCACGCTGATTGGCTACGGTGCATTCCAGGGGCGGGGGAATAAAGGAAGCCGGTGTCGAATCTGATTGGTTGTTTTCTATGTTTTGGTAAAAGTCGACAGCTGATTGGTCAGGCTTGCGTTGCCTCGTTATGTACTCTGTCACTTAGATAATAGTGTGTTCTGTTAGTGTGGCGATAAAAAGCCTTTTAATCATAATTATATAACATTATTTGTATGATACATTTCTAAACGAGGTTACAAGGGCTTCACAACATCCAAGGCAAAAAAAAAAAGAATGAATAAAAATAAAGGTATTCAATTTTAAGCAACATATAACATATGTTAAGGCTGAGACGTTGGAATTTATAGAGAAACCCAACAGTTCCCACAATGAGCAGCACTTTGGTGATTGTAGGGAGAAAAGAAGTCCCTCTAGCAGAACCAGACTCAGTGTGGGCGGCCATCTGCCTCGACCGGTTTGGGGTGAGAGGAGATATTCTTATTATACACAGCACATCATTACATATTATTATTGAAATAGTAGCAAAAATAATTGTTTGCAGTTCAATAGTTTCAGTGTGGTGACAGGATGGTGCTGTTTAAAATCTGATCATGACTCAGCAGGACCTGGTAATAAATTATTAATTTTCAAAATATTTAGTTTAATTTGTAGGAAATGAAGCTTACTCATCAAGCACCGGCTTTCAATAAATAAAATCAAAAAGACATCTTACAGATCGTTTTAATGAACATTCCCAAAACATCAATGTCTTAAAAATATATGAATCTCTCTGTCACATAAGGCAGTCACCTTCAGTTGTGCACGGTATCTGCTAACTCTCAGGCACAGTCAGAAAAAAGCAGTGTACGAATGAAACAGAGCATCGCACCGAGCACCGTCCTCGGAAGCTTGTCGCAGACACTCGATACATGAGACCGGAATCACATCACAATGAAATACACTGACCCTCTGTGATGATTCAATTCAGCTTCGCCACAGCAAGCATGTTTGCCTCAGACACACCAGGTTGGAAGACTCATGATGACTCAACATTGGTCACCTCCATGTAAATTAGTGAAGTCAAAAAATATCTTTGCATCTCAGCTATTTCCTGTGTTGTAAAATATCTGATAAATAAAAAATGAGAGCTAACATCTATTTGCACTTTAAAATAGGTTCTTACAAAAGTCAAACCGACTTTAAATTTAAAATATATTGCTAGACTAATTCGTTGTGTTCAGTGGTGTGACAACAGCTCATGATAAGCTGTGCGATCAATTGCATAATATATTCTGAGTTTGGCAAAAGTTCATGTAGCTTGAACACTGTGCAGTACTTTCACCCTTGCAGAAACACTCAAATAAACACTGGCTGCTCCTGTCCCGTTAAAAGCCGATATGTTGAGGCAGGCATCGTCTTCAAGTGAATCTGTCCAGAGAAAAAAAGTCATGATTACAACTGTGAGAATATGTAATGATCACTTTTCAGATCCTCCCAACAAATTCAAGCATTTAATCACCTCTCCAACTGCATTCGTCAAGATCTGGATGATCTTTTCGTGCTGTGTGGCAACAACACTTTGTCCATTTATTTCAATGATGCGATGCCCGACACGAATGCCCCCTCTCTCTGCTATACCGCCCCGCATCAGACTGCAGATCTGCAATGAGAAAATAGAGGGACATTTTTAATTCAAGATTTTATTTAAATATGTTTCAAAGCTGGGTTAAAGAAGCAGATGATCATGATCATTTTATAAAGTCATTGTCCCCAATATTCTCCAATCACACCATGATTTCCTAAAACAACACAAAATACTGAGAGAAAAAAAAAAGAATATTGACGTACAATGCCGTCCTCCACACTGAAGCCAAGCTGAAACTTGGGATCTGGTCTCTTGATGATCGCGATGGTAACAGGAGGGCAGTGGACGATGCTGAGTTTCATGTACTTTTGGCTTTTAAGGTCCTGAGATGGAAGGAATATAAGAAAAAAAAAAAGAGCAAGAGGTTAAAAGGTAATTGGTCCAAGGGGATAACAATACTTTCATTGTGTTGTCAGTGTTGTGTGACTTTGAGCCTCATTATTGGTAAACGTCCACTTTGATTACCTCTCAGTTAGTGCACCACAGAACCTTTAACATTTTAGCACTGTTGTTGATGTTCTTTTCTATGAGTAATACATGATGGCAGACTCAATGTATTTGTAGTTTTTGTTGTTTTGTTTTAAAAAAGGCTTCTCATCACTTTGCAGAGCAAAACTATTGTGTTTTCTTTGACCCACTGTTAAAAGTGCAAAAATGTTCTACTTTTCAGCCCAGGAAAACAGCATCAAATCAATACTGCATGGAAACACAGTGCCATCTAGTGTGCCTTTAGGATACTACCCGGGCAAGTTTATTTAAATGAACAGTTGAGGCAGTATCTCTGCAGTGCTACAGAGAAATTCTGCCATTCCAGCATGAACTCAAACTACCACAACATTTATTATCATTGTTATTACTGTTGTTGTCATTTCAATGATAAGTCTGTGCCGAATCTTCCCGTCTTACCCGGATGATGTTCTGGCAGGTGGTGATAGGCAGACCCACCATGCTGGTGCCATTGACGGACATGATGCGGTCCCCGATGCTGAGCTCACCGGAGCGCTCAGCTGCACCTCCGTGAAGTAGGTTGGCCACCACCACAGTGGGCAGGATTGAGCCCCAGCCTGACTCCACCACTGCTACTCCCAGGAGCTCTCCAGCAGCCTTCGTGATGATCACCTGAACCACACACAGAAATCTGGGTAACCGATGACTCCCTTAGAATTATCTTGTAATCTATTTTGTTATTCACAAAAAACATATATAACAAATTTGAGGAAAGAAAACTACAACTCACAGGGATTTTCTTAAAAGTATGCTTTCAAATTCTAAAAACTTTGTTTTAATGGTCACCTTTAACTATTAATGACACACGACAGGTGTGTATGAATGAGAAACTGAAACCGCTACAACACAGACGTAAATGATGTGAAACGGATAAAAGCTGCTTACATCTCTGAGGTTCTGAGAGTCAGAGAAGTGGGCCAGGTCTCCGTTGTAGAGCTCCTGACTCTCCAGGTAGTCACTGTACTCGCCTGGCCTCAGGTCACTGGCTTTGATGCCGTTGGTATGCAGGAACTGCTGATAGGCCACTCCGAACGCCTGACCAATAGCCTGGGCTATAGTCTGAGCCTGAATGGAGAAACACAAGGAGAGAAAAGAGGTTTCAACACTGTCATGGCCTTGTCATCTGTAAAGACATGTTTGCATCTGGATGGCCGGTTTCTGAAGGCTTGTTTAAATAAATATATCACCTCCTAGTTTGATATAAACACATTAAAACGAATGAGCTCATTAGTACAACACTAAAAAAAAACAAATGTCACACCTTAAATCATGCATTTGAAAAAGTGACCTTCTTTTCCATAAATGGTGATACATTTTTTATACTGTTTCAACATAGTTATTTTGTATATTTGCTAATTAATTTAGCCTCACCCACTGTGAAATGTATTTCTAAATAAAAGGTTTCATGTGAAATCGGTTAAGCTGGGAAAACCTAGCTGAAGAGGCAGGAGCTTCAGGGCCTTTAGTGTCCCATAGCTGATTAAATTTCTAAAAGAAACTCGTCCTCGTCCCGTTCAGTCTTGCCAACTGTGGGAAACTGGGATGACAGCCAGACCTTTTTTACATTCAGGAGATCTTGCTGGCTGTCCGGAGGAAGGAAACCAGGCCAAGCTGAAACTGTTGTCTAGCAGAAAGCAACACATTTGATCTGATATATACACAAAATTGTGTGGAGCAAGACAAACTTTAACAATTTCAGTTGTTTGCTTAATGTTTGTAGATGTTATGGATGTAATAAGTCAAATAAAAGTTTATAAAAGAAATGTTATGTTGTAACACTTTTTAAAACAACTGACTCACATCCTCAGAGGAGAAGACATGACAGATCATCAGGCACTTCTTCTGAGAACCAGAGGAGGACGATGGAGAGGAGGAGTTGGAGGGAGGGTCAGCATCCTGTCCTTTACGTTTCCTTCGTGCCATGAGGACCACGATGTCACCGATGTCGGCAATGTAAGAGATCATCTGCAGAGCGTGATCCATCATTGCTTCCTGACAGAAAGAGGTTACGAGGGGTTAATACAGTTAGAAAAAGAAATGAAAGGAAGGCCTGGTTTTCTACTTCAACCTGTTGTGACTTGAAATAGAAAATGAATTACAAAGAACATGACCCTGCCTTTATTTAAAGTTTTTGTCAGTCAGTTAATCACTGCCTGTTGCTGCACATACTTCCAAAACTCCTCAAGGTAACAGGAGACACTAAACAGAAACAACAAGCTGCTATAACGGACATTGAAATGTTAGAGTGTGAAAAAGGAAAATCTGATTATTGATTATGATTTCATGAATTTTAAGCTGTCGTTGTTTAACAAGTTGCAGTAAAATGAATTGCCAAAAGGATTTCTACTTACAGATGTAAAAATAAAACAATTATGAGAGTTTTTTTTTCTTTTGAATGCAACTGTGTTTAAAATCATAAGAATATCATTTGTAATCAGTAACTGAAACCAAGAAACTCACTGTGTTGCAGTGGGGCACAACCATGCAAAGGAGGGAACTGACAGTAAATTACCCACTTCTGCTCTCCTGACAATTCAACCGCACATTAGAGGAAAAAATAGACTCTACTATTACTGCAACATTACTGCAGAGCTCTCATATTAAATCACCATCCAGTTCTATATTAAGGATTCCTGCTGCGAGAGCTCAGTGTGGATTTGAAGATTTAGAGGCGTACTGCTGCCTTAGAAAATGTAAGTACAGTAATGTATGTTTTTGAAAAGGACATCAAACTCTGAATCTAATCAATCAATCAATCGTGGCCTTGGAAAAATCTTTCATCAAATGAAATTCCACTGATACATCATCAGATTTTGTTAGCTAAAGGCCCAGGGAAGCTACCACTACAAATGGTATCATAACTAATATTAATACTTTATAATGCTAACTTCCACTCTAGACATTTGAATAGAGAGCAATTGTGTAATAGTGCTTTGAAAAAAAGGTGCTGATAAAAGTTAGCAAACTAGAGGAAAGGAGGATAACCAAAAAACTGCAAGGTAAAAATGTTTAGACAATGTTAGTTCGGAGGGGAACAGAACATACAGTACAGTACAGTACCTGTGTGTCAGCAGTGAGCACTTTGATTCGCTGTGTGGATATGAACAAATCCACTTCCGTCATAGGCTGAGACTCACCCTCTGGAGCCTGAAAGAAACAAGTCGAGTCAAAGGATCTTTATCAGGGCTGGGCATCAGCTCAATCTCCGAAGAACTGTTTGGTTTCTGTTATAGTAGATATGAGTATATGAAAACACCCCAAACAAGTTTGCCTAAGAAAAATCTTGTGCTTCCATTTCAATTGATAAGCCGATATTTTTGTCATCACTCCTGCAGGACTTTACCTTTATTCGGTCCACAGCCTCCTGAGCCTGAGTCATACGAGCATTGGTAGATGGGTTCTTCTCCGATTTGATCTGAGTGGAGCCCAGATACTTGGCCCCAAATATCACCCCATCCAACAGGTCTTCAGGATCACAAGGACCCGGCACTAAAACATAAAACAGCATTGGTTATAAAATTACTTATTGTAGTATTGATGAAAGAAGTATAGTGACGTGATTTACCATCTTTGTATGCTGGACGATCGTCAGCACTCTGCTGTGACAGCAAAGAGGAAAATGAAGGATTTATATCAATACATTAGCTGATCAAATGAAATTTAGAAGATCATTATTGTGATATTGTGTCTTATTCTGACGTTTACAGTCCTTTTAACTTATTATACTATTTTCAACTTGACCTACCTGTTCACTCTCCACAGCAGCTTCTTCATCTGGAGGCTCCTCACCCAGCTTCATCCACACTGGTTCAGGATACTCTTCGTCAGGCAGAGAGGAGAGGGAGTCATCCCTGTGCCGCTGATGTTGCCCATTCCTATAATGCCCCCAGAACCTCTGCGCATCGCCCTGACTGTAGGAAACTGACACCACTGCGTCCACCTCTCCTCTGTGGGGCATAGAGGTAGGATGTGGTGTCGCACCGATCTCTGTGCACTGCAGCAGCCCAAGCAGGTCTCTGTGGTGGCTTTCAGAGAACAGCAACCCAGTGGTTTCAGTGCTGTTATCTGCTATTAGGGAGGAAGCACAGGCTTCCTCTTGCTCAGACATGCTGGAGTAGTGATGGGGAGATGGTGTTGGATGATCAGGATGAGGCTCTTCCCCCATCAGTTGGAGCTGGCTGAGCAGGGAGTGGATGCGGCTGTGGTCTTCATCAGCTGATGTTCTGTTCGGAACCTCCTCTTCTGAGACAATATCTTCCTTGTTCCTGCATGTTGCCCTCTCCTCGTCCTCCCCAACACCATCTAAGTCCTCCTGCCTCACCTCTTCTTCCTCATCAATTGCCACATCCTCTTCTTCTGCTTCCACCTCAGTATTCTGCGCTGGTTCTGAATTATTTTGCACCAGTTCCTGCTGGTTTATGTCAAGCTGAGCCACTGTGTCACTCATGTCCGATGGTAGTAATACTGGCTCCTCTGGACTGACCTTGTCTAAGCTGTCAACAGGAGGAGGGAAGCTTGGGTCATCCAGGTCATCTGCCGAGCCCGCCTCACTGGAGGAGTCAGACCTCCAATCTAATGGAGGAGGCTCAATCATGTTGTAGGCGTCCAGATCCTCCACCTCTGAGCCTGGCAGAGCTGCCACAGTCCGTCTAATGACCTCAACCCCGGAGGCTTCATTAACAGGGACAGAGTCAGACCACTGGGTGTCTGAGGGTGCAGAGTGGGACTGACCAGCAGGGCAGACATCTGTGTCCATTCTGTAAGTAAGTCTGTCAGAAGCAAAAATCAGCATTACAGACTTAATAGACAGAGATGCACCTCTGTCTGAACTACAATCAGTCAACCTCTTTGTCCTCGTTGCACCATGACAATCAAGATAGAAGCAGCAACCTTAAGATCAAAGTACATGGACATCATGTACAATGTGTGTCACTGTGAAACACCATGATTCATGTCCCATTCACCTGTGAAAGATATGTGTATTACATATAATTATATTTTCATTACATGCACAATATTAATCAACTGCCTTAGGAATAATCAATCAATCTTTGTTTACATTGCACCTTTCAAATGAAATTCAAAGTACTTTGCAGGTTATTGACCAAATATAGGATGGGAGACTAATGCAATACATAGCAAGGCAATCAATGATAACTTAAAATAAAAGAAATGTAGGATGATCATATATAATAATTGGCACAAATTCATTTGTTTACAATAGGAAAAAAAAGGCAAGTACACTTAAGACAACAAAAACAAACAAATAAAGACCTAAAGACAAACTAAGCCATACAAATGAAAATAGCAGATCATTTCTCAGTGGTTGGATTGTTGCACAGTAACAGTAAATATAAACTTGACACTGATGAATATAAATAAAGTGCTCGAGTGATGAAACATTTAATAACTGCACCATCAGCAGCAGCATTCTAGCAGATATGAAAACCCACAGTTAATGGGAACTGGCTCAGGACGTGGCTAACGGAGGCTAGCTAGTCCAAGGAGCCGGAGGCTAACTACTTAGCTAATTAGCCCAGCGGCATGCTAACGAGGAACACGTTAAAAACACGGGAATACACATAAAGCCCAGTTCAAAGTTGAGGAGATCAGCTCTGACCTGGTGCTGCGGGTCTGTCTCGGTTCCGTTGTGCCCAAACACTGGCTCCTGACGCCGCCAGGACCGATCAGTCGACGTGGTTGGAGTTTCGAGCCTTTTCCCAAACTGCGGCTGTGTTTCGTTCGTCATGCTAACGACAGCAGCGCCGGTGAATGTGCGGAGCTCACATCCTCCACAGAGACACTCGGTCTCGATCACACCGGGCTCGAGTGAAACGCAGTTTTCCTGAAGATGATGAAGATGAAGATGTTGTTGTTGTTGTTAAACTCAGTTTCTGGACTGCAACCGTGTTGCGTTCACGTGCTCCAGTCCGCCTCTCCGTGCCCACCGCCGCTCTGAACGCCTACATGCGATTTTAAAGCACTTTCCCCACTACCTGTTAACTTTACCATGAACGCTGCTGTGTTGCAAAATCTGAATTAATACGGATAAAAAACAGATTTCATCTGAATTGTCTTTACGAGGTTTAATATTTGCGCTCGATGGTGCAATGCTTGATATGTCCGTGAACACTTGAAGGCAACAATTCCACGCTGGACCTTCCAGTCCTGATCAATCAATCAATCACTTCACGAACACATTCATACGTCATGTCTGAGCACATTATTCTACATCGTCTCAAACTCTGTGAAGAAATACATCTTTAAAAATTATTTGAAATGCTCCATCCGACATTGCAGTACATTAAAAACAATATCAGTTTTATACTACAGCAACTGATTTGAGAGGACAGAAAATACAAGAGTTTAATCAAAAAGTTTCATTATTTTACATGATCTACAATCATTTTATACTTTACACAGATACACTTATCTTCTGTTCCATTTGAGCAGCAACACAGACTGTTTCCACACAATAGACCATCATTGTTGCATAAGGCATACGAACCCTGTTTCCAAAATCTCACATTTTGATTCCTCAATTACAAAGAGATACACAGTCACATCAACATCATTTCCATTTGAAAGATTTTAACAGTCCAGTCATCACAATCATAATAAGGTATAACATGTCCATATACAGATATATGGAGTGTTTGAGGCAACAATTTATCAGCCTCACGTCATTATATTTCTCTTAAAATCTGAACACAGCCATAATATCGCCTGCTTCAACAGTGCCCTTCTAAGTTGATTGACTGAGCAGGTGAAGGTTCAGTGTCATGTTGTGTCTCATCTGCATTGAAATCAAATCAACTTCTGACCTTCCAGGAACATGATGTGTTCGCAGAAAGAAAAACAAGGACTCAAAGTTTAATGAGTCCTCTGCTCCTCAGACAAACGAGTTCCAGCCAAAGTAGATGTATTTAGAAAATGAGGCTACCCTAAAGCAGTGCTGGAGGGCAATAAGAGACAATATGTGATAAATACAAGAATGATTTTCCTCTAAAACTGCATTCGACTAACCAAGTCATTAAGATTTCTTCACATATTCTGCATGTGAAGAAACATGTTCTAAATAAATGTCACATTTGTGTGATTGAAGTTATAGGTCCAAATAATTTTTAATTTCACATGTTGCGGATCTGCTACACATCCTTTCATTCACTGTACGTCATTCGCTCAGTGCTGATCTCAGCCTCTCATCTTTTCCTCACTGTGAGGTGAAGACAATGTCCGGTCAGTCGCCAGCGCTCGTATGGATCAAACCAATCAGAGATGAGATGGTGCCCATCAGACCCACCAACCAGTTGGGGAATCGACCAGCCCAGAGGAAGCCAGGCGGCATCCAGTGAATGGCGTTACTGAGGTCAGCCATTTTGCTAAGGATGGAGAGAACCTCCCCTCGCATCTGTTTGTGGAGCTGAGCGTGACTACAGGGAAAAAGACAAACATATTATTTTCGTTGGTAGAAAGTCTCAGAGAAATACAGGCCAACATTATGTTAACTGCAAAGTGAATATTTGTTATTAACTGCAGGAACAGCACCTGCTGTCAGCTGCGTCTCTCCCACTTCTGTTCAGCTTCTTCTTCAGCAGCAGAAGAAGTCGAGTGGACCTGAAAAACAAAAGACTCAGACTCAAAGTTTTTTATGATTCATATTTGAGCAATAAAAGTTGGAAACAATGTGAGTTACAAAGTGATTCACTTTAAGCCTAAAAACTGCTCTCAGTGTTTGTGAGATTAAGTTAAAAAAAACAAACTCTGCTGTAGTTTTTGTAGAAGTACAGAAGAGTGAGAGCTAAATGTTTAAAATAGATCAATATTTGATATATTTGGGCCGATTATTAGATTAGATAATACATCCTTAAAATTGTTGTATGAATAAGAACATGTCATATATTTTAAAATGTTCTTAAAATACATGAAATACCATTAGCATATAATTATAGACCATAAACTGAAACATATGTATTTAAACTGTGTTTTTTAAATACAGATAAATAAATACAAAGAATAGAGTGTGAGAATAAAGAATAAATTTAACTCACTATATTCTTTCATTTTATATTTATTTTTACTTCTGAATAATCCCACAGCCCTTTGTGTACCACGTGTCATTGCTGGGAATCCATACATTTACATCCTGTCTGATGTTGGTGGACAGGCAACCTCACCTGAGTATTCCCAGCAGGAGTGAGGTTCCCCACAGCACCGTGCTGAACAGCCACCATTTGTCAGAGTTCACTTTCATGAGCTCAGCGTTGCCGGCCCACGCGATGTGTTCACAGGGGTAATAGAGCTGATCGGCCACATTGTTCAGCACAGAAATCCAACGTACCCCTGAGTCCTCCTCCTTTGGGAGACACACAAAATATGTTGATGCTGGATCTCAAAGGGTAAAACAGTAACACAGCAAAACTGTATATTTATGGGGTTTTTTGATGGATGAAACAATGTAAGATGTTAAGAGGGGAGAGTCCAAAAGTTCAGGAACAAGCTGGATTTATCCTTTAAAAGCTATTTATGCACAACAGGTAAAAGGTTTCGGGGCACCTCAGTGTTTCCAACAGTTTTAAGACGATTTAAGTCATCCATCCAAGCCTTATGAAGAATGACGAGACGTGAGCGGAGAAAGAGGACGGAGCAGCAGAGTGTAGATGAGTGACTCACCTCTGCTCCAAACCCATAGCTGTGAGAGTAAGCCAGCATGGAGAGATCATCAAACAGCCTCAGCACCGTCCTGCACTGACTCAGCTGAGCAGAAAACAGAAGCAGGCTTTTCCCGAGCCGCTGGAACGAGACGTCGGTTTCAGCCTTACGGGAGAGAACTCCTCCAACGAGCTGGGAGCCATAACAGACCGTCCTGATCTGAAGAGACAACAGAGAGAGAACACCAGCAGGAACTTACTGTATGTTTAGAGACAGGAGTGTTTCTGAAAGAGGAGGAGCGATTCATTTATTACGTGTTTGACAAAGAATTTATCTCTTTTTTTTTTTGGTCTGTCATCAAGCTCATAGTTTTCCCCGGAGGTTTGGTCCTTATTTTGAAAATCCATGCTTACATATATTTTTTATTGGTTAGAGTTCAGAAATGTGACCGTGGAGGCGAGTTAGAAACTTTTTTGACTGTTGTTCTCCTCTCTGACGTTTTTTTTTTCAAAATTAACATGGCATCCAATGGAGAGGTGAGACCGGAAAACTTTTTTCAAAAAAAAGATAGAGCCAAAAGTATAGGTCCGAGAGATGTCATAGTGACATGTGTGCAAATAAAACTCTATTTTATTTTGACGTGAAATCATGTCTGTCAACCTCCATCTGTGGCTTTGAGAGTAGTTTGAACACACCAACAGTAGGTGAAAAACTGTTTTTACCGCACTCTTGTTCTTTTGGGCGAGAGACCTTGAGACCCACTTGTCGTTTTGCATAATGAATAGCTTATCATACAGTCAATGAGTATTACCAGTAAAAAATGATGTAAACATTCACAAAGAAAAATGAAAAAGTCCTAATTTTACGAGAGAGTCTACTATTTATATTTCGGTACCAGAGATTCCCTCTCTAGAAACTTTATATAGGTATAAATCTAGGTTTAGGCACAGAGTCGAGTATTTATAAATGTAAGGATCTGTAAGTATTTGGTAAGTAATGGTCTTGTTATGATTATGATGATAAGCATTAGAGGAAACTCGACCTTTTACCTCCAGTAAACACTGCACCCCTGCTGAAGCTACTCTCACACCCACAGTATAATATACCTCTAAGTTATATTCCAGCCTCATGCAGCCGCACAGTAGATGACAGCAGAGGATTGTGTTTGCAGCCATGAGTCCACTGATACTCACAACTTTATCTCTCCCTCTGTAGGACTCCAGCAGGCGGACCAGAGCCTCCACACTCTGCATGTCTGTCACAGGAGTGTCTGCGGAGCGAGGCTCCTGCTCCACATGTCCGCACAGACAGACACAGACAACAGGTTCGATTCCCGATTCTTGATTCTGAGCTGGACTTTGAAGCAGGAAGCTCCAGAATCAGACCCAAGTAGATGATCACCGAGAAACTACACAGTGATGGTGTTCTGCTGCCCTCCTCAGTCTGATCCCCGTCATCTCTGCTCCACTGACAGGCTGATGTTTGAGTTATAGTCAACACAATAAAAGAAGTGGGAGGTTTTATCTCTTTTAAATTGTTAATTGCTCCAGTGTTTTCTGTGCAGGGTTTGTGGATATATGATTATACGTGTGTTATAGGCCTTTACATGTGTACTCTGTGGTTTATATACAACACTGCAACAAATCTATATAAAATATTCTCCACTTTCTATTCCACACCACTTCCAGTTCATAAGGGAATAAATATTAATTTCTATGATAAAATATTATTATAGTTTTTTTTTCTAAATCATACTACACGGCATGTGATTCTTGTATTCGTTCAAACCTGGCCTAC